CACTTGATTGTATTCATGAGGAACCTGTACCGTGACCAGGAGACTGTCGTTTGAATGGAACAAGGGGACACTACATGGTTTAAAATCAAGAAGGGAGTGCATCAGGGTTGTATCCTTTCCCCACACTTATTCAATCTATATGCTGAGCAATGTGAACGTTTACAGAGCAAATTGGTTTTGCATTCAATAATCCGTACACATTCTGTTATCTAACATTCACTGCAATCCTCATAATGCAGTAACATTCTTCTCACTTCCCACACTCATTTCTTCCCTTTGTCCTCTCCAATCCCTTTCTGCCTTCCTAGCTCTATCCTTGAGCAAATTCTGCTCTCTTGGTCTCATATGTTTAGTTGTTCTAATGAGTGTGTACACTTCTGGAATTACTGTTCACCTTATAGGCCTTTCTATGTTCTGGCTGAAAGTTGAGCCATAGGGGTTGAGTTCAGTTCCCTGCTTGAAGGGTGTCTAAGGGCCATAATCTCATGAGTTCCAACAGTCTTCATCTGACCAGTAAGCCTGGTATTTTTTTTTTTTCCCATCATTTTGAATTTTGTTCCATATTTTTTCTCCCATTCTATCCAGGACCTCCTATTGTGTTCCCTATCAGAGCAGCCAGCAGTGGTAGCCAGAATCTATCTATTTCTTCTGGTCTCAGAGTCGTGGAGGTCCCTTAGTCCTGTGTACTAATTGTTTCCTTACATCTTTGATTTTCTTCTCTCTTCTTTGCTCCAGATGGGAAGAGACCAATAGTTACAACTTAGGTGGTCGCTTATAAGCTTTTAAAACCCCAGTCACTATTCACCAGAGTAGGGTGTAGAACGTTGTCTTTGTGGACTATATTATGTCAATTGAATTTAGTTTTCCCCAAGGCTCATTCCATAAAGGTGTTTTATTATGACTAAGAAGTTTTCATAATTTTGGCCCCTTTACACTCTACAACATTCATAGTGGATATATTTGTAGCACATATAAATACATAAATAGAGATAGCTTCTGTCAAGTATCTATATACTTGTGAGTGTAGGTTCATTCACCTTCCTACCCCTGTTCAGCTTGAGTATCTTATCTATGTATCCACTCATAGATTATTGTTATTACTGTTATTGTAGGATTATGTTTATAATGGTATACATCTTTGTTGCCTTCAACTCTTGTGTGGCTTCCACTGTCCTGATCATTTTGCTCTGAACTCCCCCCCCTTTGTATATTGCCTTGCCCTTCACCCAAGTCAATATGCATCTACCCTCTAGTTAGTGATTTAGCCTCCTTCACTTTCCCACCCCTGATAGATAACCTTAAAAAAATATTTCCGTGTGTAAACTTTTCTTAACATTTTACAGCAGTGGCCTCATATAATATTTGTCCTTTTGTGATTGACTAACTTCACTCAGCATACTAACTTCCTCTAGGTTGGTCTGTGTTATGAGGTGTTTCACAAATTCATCATCATTCTTGAAGATTGAGTAGTATTCCACTGTGTGTATGTACCATAATTTGTTTATCTATTCATCCATTGATGGGCACTAAGGTTGTTTCCTTTTTTGCTAATATGAATAATGCTCGTATGAACATGGGTGTGTATATGTCTGCTTGTGTCACAGTTCTTATTTCTCTAGGATATATACCTAGTTGTAAGTGTGCTGGATCATATAGTGTTTTTAATTCTAACTTCTTAAGGAAGTACTATATCACTTTTTATAGT